CCGCCCTCCCACAACATAAGCAGCAAAGCTGCACAACTGGGGGCCGAAGTCACACCGGCCAGCCGGTTTGGTACAGCTGATGCGGCCGCGATGGCGGTTGCCGACGGGAACTGGCGAGCGCGTGTTGAATGCCGCGCACGCATTGCCAGACGAGTCGAGAATGGCCCGGTACACCGCAGGAAGCCAGAGGTGGCCGGAGGAAGCCCGACGGTCTGACAGGACACCCCAAAGCATTTTTGTGGAAAAGCATTGGGTTTTTGATGTTTTTATGTTGAAATGCTTGCAAACACACGGTGTTCGGTAGGATTCTGACATGAACGCGCGGGTGTGCTCTTTGTGGTATTTTTCTTTGTAATATTTTTTGCACAGGAATCGCGGCCTGGGTGCATGACAGAGCATCGCGAGTGCACCGCGCGATGACGTGAAATCGCTGGATTTGACCGAATTCTTAAGATTCCTATGGTTTTCCTATGATTTCAGCAAGAGAGCCCGGGCGGGAAATTTGTACATTTTTGTGAAAAAGCATTGGGTTTTTGATGTTTTTATGTTGAAATGCTTGCAAACACACGGTGTTCGGTAGGATTCTGACATGAACGCGCGCGTGTGCTCTTTGTGGTATTTTTTGCAATGGATTATCGCCGTGGACGACAGGACGTCCATGTCGAGAGGAAAAAATAAGAAAAATGTTGATTTTGTATTGTTTTTTTACAGGTTAGGATGGGACCACCCGGATGCGGCCCCTATCTGCTGGCCTGAGGGGGGAGTAGGAGTATATTCTAATAAGGAATAAGGATAGGAGGAGTAGTAGTAGTAGTAGTAGTAGTAGTAGTAGTAGTAGTAGTAGTAGTAGTAGTAGTAGTAGTAGTAGTAGTAGTCGTAGTAGTAGCAGTAGCAGTAGTAGTAGTAGTAGTAGTAGTAGTAATAATAATAGTAGGCGTCGTCGTAGGGGGAGGAGGAGAAGGAGGGAGATGATGAGAAGAAGGAGGAGGGAGATGAGCGGGAAGGAGGGGGACCGGAGGCATGATGGAGGAGGACGGTGAGCTAGGAATGGAATGGAAGACGCATGGAGGACCGAAGAGAAGTGAGTGTGGGAAGGTAGGGGGCTGTGAACCTTATGACGAATTCAGGCCCATCGGCCGCCTGTAGCAGTCAGCAGCGTTACAAGTGGTCTCTACAAAGAGGCTACATAGAGAGCCTGCGCGCGACGCTCAAATGTGTTACAGCAGAGAGAGGGAGAGAGAGAGAGAGAGAAATATCGATAGAGAGAGAGAGAGAGAGAACTAGAGAGTGAGAGAGAGAGAGCTGGCATCTTCGCTCCCATTTCTGAAGTCGGCGCGGAGGCTACATAGGGATCATACACGTCTCGCTCGCATATGCAACACGGAGGGTGGCAGATAGGAAGCCAAGTGCGAGAGTTACGCACTTGCACAATAGACCCCACAGGGTGCAGATGAGACCGGGGGACTCAGCTTCTGCTGGCCTTCTCCTCCCAAACATCCCGCGAAGAGGCGGTGGACCCCCACGTGACTTCAGAGGGCACGCTGGCCGAGTCGAAGCTCCCTCTAGATTCTCGCTCCCCCCCGAACGCGGGGGAGGCCGAGCCCAGAGGGCCTCAGGGAGAGTCCGCCCTCCCAGACGCCTCCCCGAGCCTGGAGGCGCGACGGCCTTCTCGAGCGTCCAGCTCCTGCTGGGACACGCTCGCGGCCCTGTGCTTGCCCCTGCGGTCGTCACAATCTGCGTCGTAGGGGACGGATTCGCGGGGTTAGCCGTCGTTCCGCGCGGGGTTCTCTCTCGCGTGCGCGAGCACGTCGTCGCTGCCGCCGTCGGTGGTGATGAAGCCGAAGTCCTCCTCCCGGAAGAGCTTCTTCAGGGTGTCGCGGCTCTGCGCGAGTGCGACGGTGCCAGGCCAGTTCTCCCTGCCGACCCCGGCGACCACGACCTCCTCGCGGCAACCCTATGGAGGCCGTTGTTGGTTGGGAGACACGTTGGCATGTGTCCCGAGTGATGGATCACATCCTCTTAGAGGCTGCGCTCATATCCATCGAGCTGGGAAGGCGGCTGTATTGGGGGGGGGGCAGGGAGGAGGGATGAGGGCTTGGTGAGGACGTAGGCGGGAGGAGGTCGGAGGGAGGAGGAGGAGGAGGGAGGAGGAGGGTCACGATCCCCGGGCGGTCGCAGAAAGGCTCGCGAGCTTTGCCTCTCCTCGTCGGCCGCCTTTCTCATGGTTGTGGTGGTGGTGATGATGACGACGATGATGCTGATGATGATGATGATGATGACGATGCTGCAGGCGAGGGGTGGATGAGGAACATGATGATGATGTTGATGCTGATGATGCTGCAGATGATTATGATGATGATGGTGATGATGGTGATCATGATGGTGGTGCCAGTGACGATGGTGATGAAGAGTAAGACGACGACGATGATGCTGATGATAACGATGATGATGATGATGGTGATGTTGACGATGATGTCGATGCGGCTGCTGCTGATGATGATGACGATGCTGGATACGAGGGGTGGATGATGAATCTAATGATGATGTTGATGCTGATGATGCTGCTGATGCTGATGACACTGCTGCTGATGATGATAATGATGACAATGATGCGGCTGCTGATGCTGCTGCTGATGATGAGGGTGATGGCGACGACGACGATTTATTTGCTGCTCCTGCTGATGATGGTGAGGAGGAGGATGATGACGATGACGACGACGACGACGAGGAGGAGGAGGAGGAGGAGGATGATGATGATGATGATGATCAGGAATGTGAGCTGGACGATGGTGATGACGACGATGATGATGATGATGATGATGATGATGATGATGATGATGATGATGATGATGGTGGTGATGATGATGACGATGGTGATGATGATGATGATGATGATGATGATGATGATGCTGATGACGCTGACGATCATGATGTTGATGATGATGATGATGACGATGACGATGACGATGCTGATGATGCTGATGATGATGCTGACGATGACGATGACAATGACGATGCTGATGATAATGATGATGATGATGATGATGATGATGATGATGATGATGATGATGATGATGATGATTCTGTTGATGATGGTGATGCTGATGATGCCGATGCTGATGATGCTGATGATGCTGATGATGATAATGCTGATGCTGATGCTGCTGCTGATGATGACGACGGGGAGCTTGTTAATGATGATGGCGATGCTGATAATGCTGCTGATGACGATGATGATGCTGCTGATGATGATGATGCTGATGCTGCTGATGCTGATGCTGATGCTGATGATGCAGTTGATGTTGATGATGCTGATGATGAGGACGATGCTGTTGATGATGATGGTGATGCTGCTGCTGATGATGATGACGCCGATGCTGATGCTGATGCTGATGCGGATGCGGATGCGGATGCTGATGCTGCAGATGCTGCTGATGATGCTGATTGTGGTGATGCTGATGATGATGCTGCTGATGATGATGTTGATGCTGATGCTGAGGCTGATGCTGCTGCTGCTGATGACGATGATGCTGATGCTGCTGCTGATGATCATGATGATGACGATGCTGCCGATGATGATGCTGATGATGCTGACGACGATGATGATGATTCTGATGCTGATGATGGTGATGATGATGAGGAGGAGGATGATGAGGAGGAGGAGGAGGATGAGGGGGAGGGGGACGATTAGGAGGACGATGGAGCAGAGTGCGCGGCTGCCCTGAGGGCATCAGCGGCATCGACCACGTCGCAAGGGTGACAGGAGGCCTGCTTTTCTGGGTTCGTATTGCCAGCGCCGCGAAAAGGAGACCGCTCTTCAAGCACGTGCCACCAACATATCCTTCGTCTGTTCGGTCCGGGTTTCCCTCACGAGATCTTCTTCCTCGCCTTCGTCCTCCTCTTGCTCCTTATCCCCCTCTCTCTCTGTCCTCCTCCCTCCTCTCTCACCCATCCTCCTTCCTCCTCTCTCTATTCGACCCCGACCTTTTCTCTTTGGTTTCTCTCCCCTCCTCTCTCCCCCTCCTCTCTCCCCATCCTCTTCCTCCTCCTCCTCCTCTTCCTCATTCTCCTTCCCCTCCTCCTCCTCCTCCTTCTTCCCTCCCCCTCCTCCTCCTCCTCCTCCTACTCCTCCTCCTCCTCTTCACCTCCCGTTTCCCCTCTTTCCCATCTGCTTCCTCCTCCCGATGGGCGATCACATGACGACCCCAGGGTACCTCGTGACGGCTGCGTAAGCCCACCCTTCTTCCTCGAGCGGCTTCTAGTCCATAGAGGAGGGAGGAGGGACGATGGAGATGAGCAGGGGGAGGAGAAGGATGAGGAGGTGGTGTAGGCGGAGGGGGAGGAGGAGGAGGAGGGACGACGCGCATGGAGGAGGCGGAGGAGGGACGACGCGGAGAAGAAGAGGAGGAGGAGGAGGAGCAGGTGGATGAGGAGGAGGAGAAGGAGGAGAAGAAGAAAGGAGGAGGAGGTGGAGGAGGAAAAGGTGGAGGAGGAGGGTGAGAAGGCGGAGGAGGATGAGGAGGCGGAGGAGGAGGAAGAAGATGAGGGGGATGATGATGATGATGACGATGATGATGCTGATGATGCTGATGCTGATGATGCTGATGATGATGATGATGCTGATGCTGATGCTGATAATGGTGATGCTGATGCTGATGATGAGGAGGAGGATGAGGAGGATCATGATGATGAGGAGGAGGAGGAAGAGGATGAGGAGGAGGAGGAGGACGAGGAGGCGCAGGAGGCGGAGGCGGCGGAGGCGGCGGAGGCGGAGGAGGAGGATGAGGAGGCGTACGTAGGACGAGGGAAGACGAGGAGGAGGAGGATGAGGAGGAAGAGAGGGAGCATGATGATGAGGAGGGGGATGAGGAGGGGGGGGGGAAGAGGAGGAGGAGGAGGAGGAGGAGGAGGAGGAGGAGGAGGAGGAGGAGGAGATGGAGGGTGAGGAGGAGGAGGTGGAGCAAGAGGAGGAGGATGAGGAGGAGGAGGCGGAGGATTAGGAGGAGAAGCAGGAGGAGGAGGATGAGGTGGAGGCGGAGGAGGAGGACGATGAGGAGGAAGAGCAGGAGGAGGAGGAAGATGACGATGCTGCTGCTGATGATGATGATGCTGATGATGCTGATGCTGATGATGCTGATGCTGATGATGCTGCTGATGAGGATACTGATGATGTTGCAGATGATGCTGACGATGGTGACGATGCTGATGACCATGATGCCAATGCTGATGCTGATGATGATGCTGATGATGCTCATGCTGATGATGCTGATGCTGCTGATGATGGTGCTTCTGATGATGCTGATGATGATGGTGATGTTGATGCTGACGATGACTGTGCTGCTGATGATGGTGATGTTGAGGACGAGGATGAGGAAGAGGAGGATACTGATGATGATGATGATGATGCTGATGCTGATGATGATGTTGAATACAAGGGCTGATGCTGATGCTGCTGATGCTGATACCGACTATGCTTATGATGATGCTCATGATGGTGATGCTGCTGATGCTGATACGGATGATAATGGTGATGCTGATGATGATGGTGACGATGATGAGGATGATGATGATGTTGATGATGCTGCTGATGCTGATGATGCTGATGATGATGCTGCCGATGTTGCTGATGATGCTGATGCTGCTCATAATGATGTTCATGATCATGATGAAGATGAGGATGATGCTCGTGATGATGATGATGATGATGATGATGATGAAGCTGATTATGCTGATGATGCTGATGCTGATGATGATTCTGATGATGCTGATGATGATGTTGATGATGCTGATGATGATGATGACGATGCTGATGATGATGAGGATGCTGATGATGACGATGACGATGATGACGATGATGTTGCTGATGCTGATGATGATGTTGCTGCTGATGCCGATGATGGTGATTGGGGTGATGACGATGATGATGACGATGATGATGATGGTGATGATGATGATGATGATGATGTTGTTGATGATGATGATGATGATGGTGATGATAATGATGATGATGATGATATTGATGATGATGGTGGTGGTGGTGATGATGATGCTGATGATTATGATGATGATGATGATGATGATGATGCTGATGACGATGATGATGATGAGATGATGATGATGATGATGATGATGATGATGATGATGATGATGATGATGATGATGATGATGATGATGCTGATGATGATGATGATGATGATGATGATGATGAGGATGATGATGATGATGATGATGATGACGATGATGATGATGATGATGATGATTGATGATGATGATGATGATGATGATGATGATGATGATGATGATGATGAGGAGGAGGAGGAGGAGGAGGAGGAGGAGGAGGAGGAGGAGGAGGAGGAGGAGGAGGCGGATGCGAGGAGGAGGAGAAGGAGGAGGAGGAGGAGGAGGAGGCGGAAGCGGAAAGGAGGAGCATGAGCATGCTGAGGAGGAGGAGGGGAGGAGGAGCAGGCGTAGGAGGAGGAGAAGGAGGAGGAGAGGAGGAGGAGGAGGAGGAGGAGGAGGAGGAGGAGGAGGAGGAGGGGGGGGAGGGGGGTGGGGAGGAGAAGGAGAAGAGGAGGTGGAGGAGGAGGAGAGGAGGAGGCGGAGGAGGAGGAGGAGGAGGAGAGGGTCTGGGCCCAGGACCCCCTGGAGAGCACTCCAGCGCGTGCGGTGAATACTGTACCTTGTGTGCCGGCCCCATGCGTGCACTGATTATATTCCATTTTTCCCAACACTGTACATTCTCAGTGCCTTGCTGGACATTTTGTCTTGCAGTGTTTGCTTGTTGATTCTCCAGTCACAGTGACATCACGGCTTAAGTCAGAGCCGACCTGGCATCGTCGAGAGCGTGCCGAGAGGTCCAACGCCAGACTACTACTTCGCGCCCTTCAGTCCAAGCAGCTATTACGACAGCATCATAGCAGCACTATGGCAGGCATGTGCCGCAATCAGCAGTATCAGTACCAACATCCTCGTCGCAACATAGGGGGCCCATGTATCCAGTAGAGTTGTCAGCAGTGCAACCGAGAGGTCAAGGCGCATCATTGTAGGTGTTTATGTGTATTGACCTATGTATGGTATTTCTGAGCCCATGAGACCGCAGCAAGGTGCCCATTTCAGAATGAATCCCTCAGGACAAGTTGTTCCCAGGCGTGCACTGAGTTCCAGCACATATCGGCAGAAATATATGGAGAGCAGAGCCATACGGTCTTACATTGCAGAAGTTGCTCCACCCCCGCGTTCTGAGGCCCCCTCGTCAACACTGGGTGCGTCCGTATACATAGATCTGCCGCAGGACGTTCAGGAGTTCAAACGGTACAAAACAATCAACAAAGCAATCTTACTCAAGCTCGCCAAGTTGGGGCGAGCAACCGACGATGCGGGACACATGATTCTGCTCCCATCAAGTTCGAGATATGTGCGATCAAGATCATGCAGTCAACCACCCAGACGTTGACCAACCATTTGCACAGCCTCGGAACAGTTAGGGACAAATCTCAGGACACATTACGAAACATCACGGAGAAGGTGCGCAGTCAGGTAGAGGAAGAGAGAGCGACTGAAACAGAAATCGACCGACTTCGTACCTGCATAGCTGACATCGAGGAGCTAGAGGACGCTCAAGGTGACCTAGACATTGACGAAGTCATGGGCTACGAACGCGATGTCACAGAGCATGCGGTCTATACACCCAAAGACAGATTTTCCCAGCGGGGGCGCCCCCCCCCCCCCCCCCCAGGCAACGCTGCCGCCCCATCGACATCAGCTACGGCAGGTGCTCTCACCCATGCCCCACAGGGGCGTGCCAGCGTCCACCGCCCGATCCCTGGCCCTCCGCCAGCACCGCCGCCTGTTGCACCAACAGCACCGACAGCAGCAGCAGCGACAGAACCAATGCCGACGCCACCATCGTACTTTGACTTGTGCAATGCAATGAATCAGGTGATGCAAGTCCAGCTCAACCAGGACAAGGTGCTGAATGACATTACTGCGGCTATCAGGGACACCGCGGTGGGGCTTTACTCAGGGGCTTCAGGCGGGGCCCCGACAACAGCTACACCGCCTGTGGTCACGGCCGCGCTTGCGCCGACCAGCCCCGCAGAGGCAACGGCAGTTCCAGTTCCGAAGACGCCAGAAGCTGCGAGAAAGCGTGCTCCGACAAGCCCGTATCCGCCAGCGCAGCCAGACCCGCCTACGTCAGATCTCCCTACACCAGTGGTATTCGGGCCTTCGCAGCAGAGCGAGCTCAACGAGGTGCCAGAGAGGATGGCGGATCCGAGGGAGGGTATCCCTGGCCCCGTCGACTTGACAGTGCTCACCCAGACCCAGGCTATCCCTACCCAGGAGGACCCGTTGCTCGCGGGACCGAAAAGTGTGGCCCCACAAGTGAGCCAGGCCAAACCAGAGGGCGAGGCGCGCAGTCCGCCGCGCAACGAGCAGAGGCTGGCCTCGGTATCTTTACGAGTGGCCAAAAACGTGTGAGCTGGGGCACGCGCGAGATTCGTTTCTCTGAGGCCTCGGGCTTGCCCAGGATCGACCATCCCTCGTTGGAGCAAGCCCCCTCGAGGCCCATCCTTGTTCGTTCCTCCCTTTGCGTCGCCCCATGGGCAAGCGCCGAGGCATCCAGTATGCCTGGCTTTCAGCCTCAGCTCCGCGCCTCGGGGTCGAGAAGGTGGGAGTGCCGATGCTATTGCCGTCGCGCGCGCTGCAAGTTTGCTCGCTTCCCTTTGGGCTTGCTTAGGGATTCGTGTCGACTGCCGCGCAGCGCGTCGCGGCGTCAGTCCGGGGACGGGCGCGCC